GATCCGGCCCGCGGACCGTAGTTTGGTGACCCCTGGTGTAGATGAATGCATTATATATATCATTCCCTGTGATGTCTACCTTTATCTAATTTGGGCCATTTATATAATGTATACTTACAGTATGATTTACTTTGCTCATCTTGATTATCAAACATTCAAATAATGTTTGTTGAGTCCTTGCATACAGAATGTGCACATACTCATTGCAATTTTATCATAAATACATTTGATGCCTCTGTTATGCAGATCTTCTAGAGTATTGGAAAACTCTCATTGTATTGAACTTTCAAATAAATTTTCTGCTAAGTTTTGTATGTGAAAGCAGTGTAAATTTTATAGCATTTTCTGAAGATAGAGTATACATTGTTACTCTTAGGAATGGTATCACTCATCATTCATTGTTATTTATTTTGATCACAAGGCTACATTATTGGCTGGTTTCGAGCCTGGCTCTTGTAGCTTAAATGTAACTAGAAGTTAAACAGAGTATTGAGTATGTTATATTAAAACAATTTTGAATTTGCAAATCAGCAATGCATGTCACAACCACAGTTGATATAGTGTTGCAGTGGAATGTCATATATTATATATCAGAACAACTTTTTGACATTGTTTGGCATTTTGTAGGTTGTGTGAGGTTTTAGAAAGGTTACAGAAAAAAGCCTTTACTGAAAAAAGATATTCATACACTCAGATCATACAGATGTATTCACATCAGAGATGTAGAATTTCCAAGACAGGCATATCCCTTATACTTAATGGTATTGAAAAACAAAGGAATATGGATTAACTTAGGACACCAGGACCATCCAGAAAGAGACTTGCAACAAGTTGTATCCTAACCATGTTAACCAAAATGCACAGACTTGTAACAGATGAGATTCTATGAACACAAAGGTCAGTAGTAAAAGCTGTTCACATCCCCCAGGCAACAGTACTCAACATAATAAAGAAGGATCTCCATTTAGAAATGAGGCCAAAATGGTTGTAGATTTACCAGGATAAAGCTTCCAGTCATGTTTCCAGATCAACCATTATATACCTCTAGCAGCTGGAGAATGATATGAGTGTTTGTGTTATGAATCACATGTTAAAGTTTATTTATTAAGAAATGTTAAGTCCCTTTCCAATAAGTCATATACATAATAAATTATGGCCTTCCAACATTTCCTCTGTAACCGTAAGCAAAAGATTGGACCACCCTAGATTAGACCATGGTTGTAAGTTTTGGAATACATGTATCTGTTTGTTTTGCAAGATTATTTCTTATTTAATTTTATTATTTAAATAGTTTGAATAATAATAATAATAGATACTATCTCTGTA